CTATGCAGTATGCAGCCAGCAGATTATCATCCATACTTTGAGTAGTGAGATGCCACTTGCTCCAACAATCAACACCTTTTGACTTTGGTCCAAGAAGAGACTAAGGTGATGCAGTTTCACCTGTTTTGTAAGAACAACACTGGTGTTTGCCATCTATTGACAGAGTGCCTACTATGTGCCAAATGCTTTGTTGGCACTGAATATGCTATCTCATTCCAGTTTCTTTATACTCAGTGAAAAACCAACCACATTTATATTGCACTGAGGCTTAAAAAGTCGTTTACTGACTTGCCTAAGATTATACAAGTAGTAGGTGGCCATAGCAGGGTTTGAACCCAAGTATGCTTGCTTCCCCAAACCATGCTTTTTAAAAAATCAAGGGTGTAGCTTTGATGAAAGACGTGAAGTTAATGAATATATGAAAGCTGGTGAATAGATACAATGTGGCCTTAGGCCAGACCCTGTTGAACATGTGGTGGGATAGATAAGAGAAGGTTCTTCTCTGTTGCTACCTGGTTCTCAATTGGTTATTACTTGATGTGCTTTCCATATTAAAATTCTATTATTCTGGTCTATAAATTCACCCACCCAGGCTTGCCTAAACTAATTAAACCCTGAAATTTGGCATGTCTTTTTTTCAGACCGCCTCTATGATAGGTGGTGAGAATGAAAATGGAATTAAAAGTTTTGTGAAGCTATAGCACTACTTTTTCATTGTGTTCCTCCCTGACTTTCTGCCTTAGGTGTTTACTTTGGTGAAATATCCTGGGAGAAACTGAGGTGAAAAGAAGCCGGAGTTAGGATTGGGGAAGAGATGAAGTAGTCAATAAAATTCAAATTTCTTGTATTCTGAAATGCAGCTATTCTTTCTCCAACTTGGTTTTGGACAGAATGTCTTAGGGTAGCTGTTAACAAAGAAATTGATGACAATTAACTCCCATTTCTCAGAATTTCATCATTCTTTGAAAGTATTTATCATACCCAAACTTCCAAAAATCCTTAAGGCATACTACAGTGTAGAGGTTGGCAAACTTTTTCTATAGAAGTCCTGATAGTAGCTTGTTTCGCTTTTGAGGGCCATAGAATTTCTGTCACAACTACTCATCTCTGCTGTTGTAGTAAAGACTCACCCATAGACAATACATGAATGAATGAGTATCTATGTTCCAATAAGACTTTTAAAAATAAAATTAGGCAGCAAGACTGATTTGACATAAGGGTCATAATTTGCTGACCTGTGGTATAGTGATAGGAGTTCAACTAGAGTTTGATTATGGCTCTGCCATTCTAGTTGAGTATTTTTAAGAAAGCTATTTAATTTAGATTTGATGTAGTTTTCTTATATGTAAAATGGGGATAATAAAACCTGCTTCACAAGACTTCTATGAAGAGTAAGCTATGTAGCTAAATATAGCAAAATATCTGGCATCTAATAGATCCCTAATAAATGGCGACTATAATGATTATTATCATTACTGTATTATTTTAAACATTTCTCTTAGTTTTTTTTTAGGTTGTTTGTTGTCTAATGTATTTAGAGAAAATAAGTGCTGTTGAGGGCAGCTGGAACTGTTTTGCTGGTTCATCATTGAAGTTCTAGTTCTTGTTGGTGCTTATTTCATAATTATGAAACTAATTCTTTTGAAAAGAACTTGAAGTAGAGCAACAAGAATTAAGAGAGAACTAATACCATTCTCTCTCAGTTCTTATTGCTCTACTTCAAGTTCTTTTGAAAAGAATTACATAGATATGGGTGCATGTGTTTACTTTATTTCTTTATTTTCCTTGTTGGGTAATCGTGAACATGTTGATTGGCATCAAACATGGGTCTCACCTATCCCCACGGCAATCAGCTTCTGTTGACTTGAATTCTGACTAGTCCTGGTGGCCCTGTGAGTGGGAAAGTCTAGGTGTGTCTAACTTCGTCTGTGGTTCCAGGAGGGGTTGGATGCACCTGTTCTACTTGTGGAATGTTGGCACCAATATAGTGGCTGCTTCTCCGAGTATTTGCCTTTGTCTTCTTTGTGAAAGGTCACTGGCTGGTTTGAGCTACTGGGCTGTTTATGCCACATCCTGTGCATGCCACACTGGCTTTCTTTCTGTGGTGTTTCTAGAGATAAGTTTGCCTCATAGGAGTCAGACTCTGTGGCTTTTTATCATTATAGATTTTTCTAGAAGGAGAAGAGGCCATGATCACATCTGAGGAATCCGAGTCATTGTAGACATGTACTGAATTAAAGAGAATTTTTTGACTAAAGGAGAAAATTGCATCAATCACAGCGAAAGAGATGCCACAGGACAGGGCCTGGGGTGTTGGCTTAGCCACAGATGTAAGGGCTACAGTTAACAGACAACTTTCAGTTTCCGCTATTGGAAGGGATGGTCAGTCCTTCCTTCCTCTCTTTTCTTGAGCCCCATTTTTCACCTTTCTTTTTCTCTCTACTTTCTTATGATGAAGAATAAAGACAAATGATAACAGATCTACCTGTGGCTGATATAGGGCAGGGAATCCATTTAATAACAAAAGGTGGGTCAAAAATCACTTTTCTCCTTTCAAATTGAAGTTATATTGTGCATGGGCTAATTAGATTGAATGCTGTAAACATGAAGATAATGCTTGCAAAGCAGCTACAGAGACAGAGAAAAAGCCTAAAACAACCAGTAGTGCTTAGGACCAATAGTGTAAGTCTTCACACACTACGTTTGAATAATACTGTAAGACACAATTTTTTGATAGGTTAAATAGCAAATCCAAGTCCCCCCAAATTATAAAAAATTGTCATTATAATTCTAGCGGTGTAACACAATAGTGTGTAAGTTGCATCAAATAGCAGTCTACAGCCTAAATTGTTTCCTCCTGCTTTTTTCACTTCTATGCATATTTTTTTACTTCCATGCTAGAGCTACCTCATTCTTTTAAAATTATGAACTATTCTATAATTTATTTGCATTCCCCTATTTATATATTTTTAGCTTATTAGTTTACTTTAAAAGGTTTATATTTGCCTTCTAATGGCAAAGTTAGGAGTTGTGTGTCCATTTAACAGGTGGTATTTTCTTGTGTAACTCCTCTGCCTTCATGTAAACCTTTGAGAATGATCTCTTGAAACAAGGCTAAAATGCTTTTGGAGAGGTATTATAGATGATCATATCTACTTTGTGCCTATTTCCATGACTTAGCTGCATTAGAGGCCCAGCTGTATAGGTGTAACTCAAAATCTACCAAAACTAATACTGTGGTTAGATTCTGGTCAAACAAGTTGCTACTGATTCAGATGTAGGATGGGATTGAAAGGTGGCTCTTCCACACCCTGACATCAATGTACCAATTTGCCTCTGTGCATTCTTTCTCCCCTTCTCCCTTTACCACCCTCATGTAATTATTTGTGTACATGTCTGGCTTCGTCACTGCTCTGATGGCAAGGATCACGCATGCTTTACTCATATTTGAATTATTCAGGGATTCTACTCTGGGTTCTATTATGAGGCTTGGCCTAAAGTGGTTGTTCAAGAAATGTGTGTTAGAGAAATCATACATAAACTAGAAATTGTCATTTGGATTTGTGTATCTGAACAACTAACTTACAGCTTCTTCAGTGGGATAAAGAAGAAAAATGGGGTTTAAAGTACATACTATTCAGTATTAATGTAGAATTTAACAGCTGCCATCCAAGTGCAGAATCCTCTAGTTTCCCAGTGTTAACCTCCCTTCTATCTCTAGCCATGTCTCAATGCTGGGTGACTCTTTCCTGGCATGTTCTGGCAAGACTCCACCTGGTTTGCGTAATCTACATTGGCTTCTAGTTTCCACAAGAATTGTTTATATGCATTTAATTTTAGCTCTTGGGCTATAACATGTCATTGTTCTTTTTACTTATCTCCTCTTACTTTTGGAAACAGGGCAGGCATCTTCGATACTTGCTGTTCCTGTTTGGTGTGCTCTTAGATTAATTTTAGCTTTGCTCTTCAGCTTTCATGACACTTCAAGACATTTTCCAGTCATATTTCCTGTAAAAGAAAATACAGACTATGTCACCACAAAGGGAAGTGGAGATTGGGGGGCATAATTTAATTCATTCAGGGAACTCGTATTTTGGTGTGAATGGAAATCAAAGCAAGGTATTTGGATTAATTTATCTCCTTTGGTTGTTCTATATTCAATTTAGAGGATAACACATTAAGCTGTTACTCAATTTTGTCTGTTATGGTCATAGTGAATCTGGGAAAAATATATCTGGGGCTTAGTTTTCATATTTAGGGGAAAATGAATACCCTAGGGAATAATAATAAACGTTAGGGAAAATAATATTTTCCTAAGAGTAGGCAATGAAAAACTGAAGGTACTCAAAGCAGTCTTGCACAAGTGCTTTGAAAAGCCTCTTGCACAATTTTATTTCTTTATAGTACTTACACAATCATATTTCATAATGGCTTGCTATAAACAATGTTCTTGACAAGAAGCTTAAAGATGCAAAACTAAAGGAAGCACTTTTTGGAGAAAATACTTTTATATTTGCTTACTTCTACACTATAACAGATGTAAAACTATGGATTTTTTTCAGTGCAATTTTCATATGTCAGTTCTAGGAGACAGGAAATGTGAAACACTCTAGGAGGTATGAGTTTGCCACCTAGAGGAGAGAGATGAAATTCAACTTTTCTCTGATTTCTTTAGTAGAATTAATTAATTTATTTAATTATTTACTCATTTAATTATTCAAAAATAATTATCTACCAAGCTTAACTATTTTGCCCGTGCAGATTTGATAAATCTGTTCAAGATTTATGAGCTCAAAGCAACCACAAAGTGCATCTTACTTTAATTGCTCAGCTGCCTCTTTTAAAAATCTTTTACTTTTAAGAGAGTATAACACAAATATTTGAACAATTCTAAATATCCATACTTGGGATGGATATTACTTTGAGCTCTTGCACTATAATAAAACTTTATTATTTGGTACTAATTCAGTCTTTTTACTTTTTCTTTTTTAATGTTTAAGAAACAAGTTGGATATGGACAAGATGTAATTTCTTCTGTCAAGGAACCCACAGGATAACAGGTTAGTGATAGAGACCAACAATGCTGACGCATTTTTAATGACGGGGATAATGTCTAGAAAAAATCCGTTACTTGGTAAAGATGAAGTATGCATGTGTATTCCTTTGTTTCAATTATTTTTGAAGTTAAAAAACAATTATTTATCTCCTTTTGTACTACAAGCAATATCTGGTGTAGTGTGTGCATAGTAAGTATTCAAGAAATAGTAATTTCATTGTTGACTTGGTTATGTTGGAGTGGAACTTACTCTGGAAGAGATCCTAACATTCATTTATCTGAAAAACTTTCCAGTTAGGACATGGACATTTTTTTCTTGTCAATATTTATTCTTAATGGGTTTAGAATTTTAGAAAATGGGTTTAGGGATTTAGAAATTTCTTTACTAAATAATTCTAGGGAACAATACCTTAAAAAATATTTAAAATGACAAAAATTTTAAACCATATCTAATTTTTTAAGGCCAAGAATCATTAAAAAGGGATCCAAATCTTTAGACTTCATTGCTCAGTGGAACTAGAATCATTAATATCTCACTCAGAGGAAGCCATGTCAACTCAGTGGTTTAATCTCCTGTGAGCTTCCCATGTTCTCTCCCTGCAAGGACCATCTCAAATCCCTCAGCAGTCCTGTCTTTATGAAACCGGTATAATGTTTCTTTTCGTTCTTGTTCTTCCTGTGGCAACAAGAGTCAGTTCTCCATATGTAAATCCTCGGTCACTGTTTTAGCTGTATCTTAATTGTGCAACGTCTGTTTACTCTGTGTTTTAACATCTGCATGCATAGCAGTGTTGTTGTAATATTTTGGCTGTAAGCTTCTAGGAGGTAGAGGCCAGCATTTTTTCCTCCATTTTTAGGATGAGAAAATACACATCACCACAATCAAAGTAGAATGACAACTGATAATAGATATTTGTATAATTTATATAGTCTCTTAAAAAACAGATTATAGTAAGAAGTGGCTGAGCAATTAACTATGGCACACTGCATGGTTTTTCTGACCTCTCAGCTCCTAAATAAACTTTGCCAAATCTTCAGGCCCTCAAATTTTTTTCATTCCATTTGTTTTGGGCTGAATTGTGTTCCCCCGAAATGACTATGTTGAAGTTCTAACTCCTAGTGCTTCAGAATGTGACCTTATTTGGAAACAGGGTCATTGCAAATATAATTAGTTAAGATGCGATTTTACTGACATAGGAGAAGCTCCTAATCATGGTGTCCTCATAAAAAGTAGGATTTTGGCTATAGAGACATGCACTGGGAGAATGCTGTTTAAAGACTGGAGCTATGCTGCTAAAAGTCACAAAATTAACAGAAGCTAGGGAAGAGACCTTGAATAAATTCTTCCCTGTAGCCTTGAGGGAGAGGATGGCCCTGCCAACTGCTAATCTCAGACATCTAGGTTCCAGAGCTGTGAGACAATTTCTCTTTTTAGGTCACTCAGTTTGTGGCACTTTGTACAGCAGTCTTAGGTGACTAACACACCACTGTAACTGTTGATCAAGGCAAGAGCCTGTGATCATGTATTATCTTGATTATTCCTCATCAGCATTCTATGGAGTAGATATTAGTGCCATCTATATATAAATTAGGAAATGGAGCCTCATAGAAATTAAATGACAAGTTCAAGCTTTCATGGCTATTTCAACATAGTGCCATTGTTTGAACACAAGTCAATTTGACTCCAAAACATCATTACTCTACTCAATTCTAGTTCAATCCAGATGTTCACAAACAACCAGACTATAGTAGAGATGTGGGTGGTGGATTGAGAAGGAGATCATAACCAACATCGGACTGTCAATGAAGCAGGCTGGGAGAAATTATATGAAGCCAAGCAACTGTGCAGGGTACAGTAGAGATGGTCAGATTGTTCAGATATATGGATTCCATCTTCTGAGGAATGAACTCCTTGATATTCCTGAGTTAGTCCAGTTTAGGCAAGAGTAAACAGAAGGTAAACAGAAGATTGGAGACTGTGTATGCACGAATGCCTCCCTTGCAGCTGAGCGTCTAACATCATGAACAGCCACACTCACATGAATATAGAGATATATGATTTACAAATTAATGCAACATAAAACTCTCATGCAGTCGGATTTCATCTTATTGACATTTCTGTCAGATGGAGTCAGTGTTAGCATCTTAGTTATATAAATGTGGAAACTGAAGTATTCAGGAGGTTCCCTGACTTCCCAGGCCACACGGTAAGCTTTGGTGCTAGAATGTATCTCTAGGCTTTCTCATTTCAACCCAGCATTCGTTATGCTGTTGCTCACTGCATGTAGAATCAGATTTGATTTCTCTGACTTTTCTTAGTCACTTCTGTGGTTTCGCACCACTCCCTCTCTCTCACTAAATAACTGCCTGCAAAAGTAAAAATTTCAATGAAAACAGAAAACAGATGTACCAGAAATGTTGATGGTATAAGCGGTAAAACTGGGATAAAGAGAAGATGTGTTGGAAAGTGGTGTCCTTTAATGCAACAGAAAAGTATATTAGGAGAAAAAGAAAAAAGAGAAAAACAGACTATCTGAAGTGGTGGGAGGAGCAAATGCTACAGATGTACCTGAACCTCTTCAGTAGGTGTGATCCTAAAGAGTTGTGTATAACAACAATGAACAAAAATAGAATGTACTGTGAAAATTATCTAGCTGTTGAGATCCTACTGTGCGATATTTTTCAAAGTGAAAACTCCAATCAACCCTGGCTTATTTATGGAGAAGACTTTGCCCCACTGTACCCAGAAAGTTTCTTCACAATATCACACATGCATAATAACCCTGACACAATTTTTGTTTACCAGGAAAAGATATAAAAGGGAACATTAAACTTTGTCTAGTTCTACTGCATAAACATGTGATAATATGCATGGTGACCTTCTGTTGTAAATGGAAAGAGTTAGGCTCTCTGAATCTACTGCTGAAAGGTGAAAGCACTTCCTTAGGGCTTTGAACTTCAGTTGGACTCTTACTGAAAAAAACACTACAAACTGTATTTTCTTTAAATTTGAAGATACTTTACATAAAAATCTAAAGCAGTTTGACTTATGTTTTCATCCACTTGAGAAGGAAACTCACAGACTCCAAAGCAACTGTTGTCTGTTTTGAAAAAAAATTCAGAAATCACCAGAAGCAATAGGGAGTGGCCTTGATTCCTGTTCTTTTATTTATGGGTAGCTAAAGTTCATATTTCTCAACATACCATAATCTCTGTGTAATTGGCCAAATTCCATGGTGGATAATTAGATCTAGCTTACCAGGGCAGATTTGGATGGTGAGAGCAGTCACACTGTTCTGGGAATATGTTAGCCAAGTTTACTATGTTTTACATGAGTTGACAGACTCACCTCACTTGTTGAAGGACTAGCCCAGCAGGTTCTACGGGTGAGATCACTGCTAGCTCATTCAGTGCTGGGCTTGGTAGGCACAAGAGGCCAAGAAATAAATAATGTGAACTTGGGCTTCAGAAGCTCTCTTTCCTATTTTCTTTCCTAAACCCTTTCTTCTACTAGCTGTCTAGGGGCCAAAACATTTATTCATACATTTCTTAACTAATTCAACAAATATTTACCAACTATGTTTCAGGCACTGGGCACTAGAAATATAATAGTGAACTAGACATTTTCTGCCTTCAAGGGTCTATGAACAAACAATTACAATACTCAGTGAAAAATACTACAATTCACAGAGCTCAGTAATCCAAATCCTTATTATTTCTGTCTTTAAAAAGCAGAAAGTAAAAAATGCTCATAAAAGAGGATGGCATAGAAATGTATTTATGCATTGCAACAGATAAAATTAAGGAATGCACGAAGACTGGTTCATCTGTTTGGTTGTGAGTCAAGAATAAATTCCACCCTCCCTAAAGTACTCAGACTCTACCTTGCCCCATGGCCACCACTGTGGCCCAATGGAAGCACCAGTCCAGGGGGTCTCCATTCATGCTGTCTTTGGGTGTCGTCACAATGTTGTTTCACAAGTACTCAAACTCAACAGTAAGATTTTAAAAACTGTCCATAATATTAACCTTGGCATTATTATGTTAAAGAAAGCAAAACAGATATCACTGAATTTACTTCTCAAAAAAACCTTACGTTTCTGCAAAAGTTTCTTGAATTCTGACTCTTTTATACAATCACACAAGAATGGCTATACTTAAACCCTTCTGATCAATTATATCCTTAATATATATGACTGAGTGATGTGTTTTCATGACTATTAAATGTAAACATGTTTGGAAAATCTATTCACAATAGAGTTTTATGATATTCCTATTAACAGGCTGTCATTGTAACATGTTTATGCAGGAATTGTAATTCCATCTATTTTTATTTTTACCATCTTTTCTCCCCATCCCCCAAATTGTAAGGAGCTATCAGGTCTGTATTTTATTTGGTTTTGAAGCTTTAGGTTATTTGTAGTTATAATAGCCATATCAATTATTCATTTAGCAAAAATGTATTGAGTGCTACTATGTACTTAGATTTTTCCAATATTGTGAAGGATAATTGGCTAAAACTTTTCCACTTTTATTAGTAATCTGAGAGTTTTTTTTCTCCATGGATTTTAGTCACTGGTAAAGGCTGTTTCATACTCATAGATTTTTTTCTACAGTAAGAAACATATGATGTTGAATAAGATATGAATTACAAATTAAGGCTTTTCCACATTCGCTGCCTTTATAAGGTTTTTTTTTCTTCATCAGAATCTATTCACACACACACAGACACACACGTGCTGTTTTGATTTTCTTCAGATATATCCAGTGTTCAGTTCTTGAGCACATATTAATATACTTGCCTAGATGAAGACTATGTGTCCTCAGGAATTTATAAGATAGCAGATGACAGATTTGCTTCTTTCAAAATGTGACTCTACCTCCCCACTTCTTAGGTTGTGAAAGCAGTTGTTTATGCTTTATTTAATTGTTTTCCAAACTTTAGTTATTTAAGTACCATCTTCATGATTATGCTATTCACATACCACCTGTACTATTATGCTT